GAGAAGAGAGAGAGAGAGGAGCTCAACATCATTCTCAATGGCGTCGATGCACTTCAGACTTTTGCTAGGCCATGGACAACCCAAACTGATGGCAGCCTATAGAAGTGACCTAATGCTGAGAAATGACATGTGTCAATACGAATTTACACATGTCAGAATGTACTGATGTGTCCATTGTGTCAGTACAGAGGTTGGTTGTCGACCTAGGATTGGTCGAGGAAGTGTCACCTCAACCGCCTGCTTTATGACGAGCAAAAACCACAGTCTAACACAGTCGCCAATCGAAATGTAGCTGGAGGGATTAAAAAACATGACGCATCTCAACCCTTTATGGCAAGAAGCTCAGAAGACGACACATGGGGAATTTTCTCGTGGAGGAGTTTGGAAGGCATCGATGCCATTGCCAGTGGCGCTAAGACTCTGACACTCGCTCACACGTACAACTGTACCCTATCTAGACTGCATGATTAGACCGCATTAAATACAACATTTATTTCAAAGGACTGCACTTAGTGCTAATTAACTGTGAGCTCTGGGCCATTAGCAATGGCGTCGGAAGAAATCCAAATGGCGACAAGAAATGAATGATCATGATTGCACTAAAAAACAATCCAATAGTGGTTTTGAACTTGAGTTGTCTATAAATAGGCCTTTCGACCTTGAATTAAGGGTCGAGATTTTGCGCATTAAACGCGTAAACTCTGACAAATTGAATCTAGCTGAGTTTTGTGTATCAAGTGTGTAAGCTTCATCGGATCAACTTGGACTAAAACCAAACCCTTGAAGATTAGAACTCCTAAAACCCCCAAAACTACATTTTAATTCGAAGGCAATTCGGATAATCAGACATTCCCGGGTCCCCGTCCTCTTATATTCACCGGTCCTGTCTAAAACCCGGAAGATCGGGATTGACCGTGCAATTACTTGTTTTGAATCGGCGCCGACTCTAGGTGTCGGGCGTAGGGGCCTAGCCTAAGGTCCCTCTTCTCTCTCTCTGTCTCTCTCTCTCTCTCTTTGATTTTACCCATGTTATCTTGTTTTCCTCTTTACTTTCACTTAATAAGCATTCATAGACTCTTGAATTCTCTCTCTCTATATCTTTGTCTCTAATTAAGACCCTCCATTAAGGCTTAAATCTCTCTTCTCTCCTCTTCTTCTCTCGCTTTAAATTCCGATCATTTAGGGGCCCATTTATCTCCCATCTTAAATGCTTTTGATGTTATGTAAGAGCATAATTTAGAGCTTTTTTAGTCTAATTTTGATTTTTTTAGTCTATTTGTTTTTTTTTCATTTTCTTCTATTTCTAAAAGTATATTTTATTATATCCTCCCCTCTTCATTAAGAGCCCCTTTTAAAATCTCCTTTAAACTCTAAGGCCAAGGTCAACAAGAAGCCGGCTATGCCGGCAGCTCCAGTGGGATATGGCCTCATAGTCTGATTCTCGTCCCGAACGTAATTTGACATAACCCTCTCTACTAATTTTTTGATATGTTGTTTACGATGAAAATATTACAGATCTTCTGATGAAGATCTCTCGGATTTTGACACCTTAAACTAATAAAAATGCAATAAAAGAGTGGTAAAGAAAGTGAGACAACTCGAATTTAGATTTGAGGCCAGATCTGTCAGGAAACGAGCAGATCTACTATCAGATCTGTGGCAGAGCTAGCATGATCCAAGACACGAAAATACGATTTTAAAGCAAATAAGCAAATCAAAATGAAATTAAAACAAGAAAAGAAGATTAAAAAAGAAAGAAAGAAATGACACCGAACTAGGCCGGATGGCTCAGAACTCCCGAGCCTTCTGGGACTCCCCCATATCAGAACCAGTCCTCTTTTGTCTCTTTGAGTCGGATGTTCACCAAAAAGTCTCTAGTTGAAGAATGATGGTTATGCCCTAAGGGTAGATCTAGGGGGGTTGTGCCCTACGTCTAGGTTTTTTCAGACTTAGGTTTTCTCTCAGGAGGCTCGAGTTCCTGAAGCAATTTTTAGGGTTTTCTCTAATCTCTTATAACTCTCTCTCTAGTTTTTTTTCTCTCTGATCTCTATCTGTTCTCTTCCTTAGGTTCTGGTCTCTCAGATTTTTGATCTCTATCTGCTCTCCCCTAGGATTTGGTCTCTCTCCCCCTCCAAATGACCACAAAATGAGGGGTTTATAGGGGTCAAAATCTGTTGAGGAAGATATACTCACATAATCAATACATACTTATCCAAAAAAATGGGTTTACTAGGTTAAGTGTGATCCTAAGGGTTAAAGAAACCACGGAATTTACCAGATTTAAAATGTGTGTCTACACATGTTTGCACCCGAAACCAAGGCGCGGAACCGAGTTCCCTACCTGTATTTTCGAGTATAAACATATATCTATTAGTGCTGTGGAATTGATTTTCTTTAGATTAAAATAAAAATAGCCCA